CGACACCACATTTTGTAGATAGATTATAAATTCAGGACTAACATTATATTTTCCACTCGTCATATAAGTTTCTTACTAATAACATTTGTATTATATAATTTCATTTTCTTCATTTTATCGTATAACTAAGTGTAACTTTTATTTGTGAAATAAATCTTTTTTAAAAAGTCAATCAAGAAGTTAGTGATTTAACATATATATATATATATATATATATATATATATATATATATATATATATATATATATATATATATATATATATATATATAACATGGCAATTTAAAGACTTTTAAGCAACATTTTAGAGGTATTTACATACCGATTTCAGTGCATTAATCAGTGCAAATATACTATAATATACAATATTAATCAGGAGGATTTACAATTACTTAATCCTGAGGCTTGTTTGTGGATTTAAATTCAAGCGTCTTTAAATAACCTTGTTATTACATATCAATGAATGAGTACATTAATCATCACAGTTTTAATCAAATGGATATGCTTCTATTGGATATTAAACCGTTTATTTGTTTTTAATAACGCGTACGTTATATTAATAATCAACCAATTATTGTCATAAAATATATTGCTTTGTTTTAAATTATAATCGTTTAGTTATTAAATTTGTTCATTTGTTTTATTTCAAAAAATATTATTATTGATTTTAGATACGTATAAAATTTAAAAGCACAGCGGAAATGCTACAAAATATGGACGACAAAAGCATTAAATTGATCACAAAAGTTTGTAATAAGACATGGAATGAGGCGGAATACCAAAATATTGGGAATTGTGAGTTGTTTATCCATCTTCAAAAAGGGAGGTAGGCGAGAATATAGTAACTATAGGAAGAACGAGAGAATATTAGAGAAACGTCTTTTACATCAAGAAGTTGATTATAAAATGGAACAATCACCGAGTGGATTTAGAATGGGCAGAAAAATCCAAGACCACATTCTCACTATCAAGAAATTAATACAAAACGCACGGAACTCAGGCACCAAGTTATAATCCTTTATTAGCTTACAAAAAGCATTTGATAGTACTCTAAGTCAATATGAATTGACAAATGCTTAAGAAAGAAAGGTATGAATACCAAACTCATGGAAGCCATTTTGAGCGTATACAGACATACATAAGGAACAGGATCAGAACTAATAATATGAAATCCAAAAAATTTATGATAAATGAGGTAAATAATCAATCAAAATTTACAAGTATGGAACGCTGCACTAATGAATCAAAATTCGAGATTAATGAAGGGAAAACGAAAGTAATGGTAAGCGAAAAAAAAAAAAGAATAAAAAACAAACGAAAATAAATATTATCGAAAATACACTTAAACAAGTAGAAACCTACAAACGCTTGAAAGCGCAAAAAAAGAAGAGAAGAACTGAAGAAATTGAAATAGTTTCGAGAATAGAAAGTACCGCTCGGATGCACCACGCAACCAAAAGTGTGCTTTTGACCAAAAAAGAAGTATCTCTAAAAAGCAAAATCACCGAATATAAGACGGTACTTGTGCTAATTTTAACTTTTGGTACAGAGCATAGAAATAAAGCATCTTAGAAGAATAATGGGCATAACCAGGTTAGACAAAATATGAAATGAGGAAGTTAGAGAACATCTTAAGGTCCAACTAAGTATTAGGAAAATTGAAGTAGCCCAACTAATATGTTATGAACACATGATTAAAAAGAATCAAGAAAGACCAGTAAACAAAATATAGAAAGCGAGAAGACAAATCAATAACATTAAATCAATCTATACAAACTAATTCTTTGAGAACCACGATAAAAACTCTATACTTTATATGGAAAAAATATAAAACTGTTTTGGATGGTTTAGAGTCAATAAAAGGGGCTATTTGTTGACTATTTTTTACTCGAGCTTTCAATTGTAATTACAATTATTATCACGAGCTTCTAAAAAATACAAAATATCTTACAAAGTTGAACTAGAAATAAAATTTTTTTGTTAACTCAAATAACTATTTTTAACTATTTTTCTAGTTCAACTTTGTAAGATATTTTGTATTTTTTAGAATCTCTTGATGATAATTGTAATCACAATTGAAAGATCGAGTAAAAAATAATCAACACATAGCCCCTTTTATTGACTCCAATCCATCCAAAACAGATATATATATATATATATATATATATATATATATATATATATATATATATAATTAAATAAATTAGTATTGTCAACAGAATAGCTTTCGCAGGAAGAAAAAAAAATTGATGAACACAAATATTTTTCGGAAGCTGCTTTGCTTCTTTAAAATAATAAATTACACAAATATTTGTTTTAGAATATTTTATTAAAAATCGTCATCACTAAAATAATTATCTATGTCTGGATCTGTTTCAGCAGTATTATCCAGATCTTGTGAATTTAGTGGGATTTGGGCAAGTCCACGATAAAATTCTTTTGCACTCTCATCAACTAACTCAATAAGGTATAAAAGATTACTTACTTTTTTTTTTCACTTATTTGTCTTGGCTTATCATACAAAATATCTAAAGTAATGATCTTGATATCGATGGGTGTATCTTTTTTTTGTCTTCTAAATATTATTTCTTGAAATTACTCATATTCCTGAAGCGATGTTTTAAAATTAATAATACCAAATTCCTTTGTGTATATTAGCCATTTCATATTTCTCCAGCAAATTTCAATCTTATTGTCTTCTTTCATTTTATTAACATTCCTTTGAATAAATTTTTAAAATAAAAAAAAGATTTCGGGTCATTTCAACTACCGTAAACTTATTTTTTTTCTGGACATTTTTTTTTAAATCTTTTTATTGTTGAGTGATCTAAGTCACAATCCATGTGAGTATGGCCAGGTACTAAAAATTTATGATCAATTACCTTTAAGTTATTATTTTGACTTACTAAAAGCGTAAACATTGCTGCCACAAATGAGTTTTTATTTTGTTAGCCACAAGTATTACTGTATAAAATGACGTGCTCTTTTTCAGAAGGTAAATTAGCAAAACTCTTAAATAAACAGGAAGCAATTTCGTTGGCACTTCGTCCCGCCATACCTTCATGCCACATATAATGAGTGGATACCTTTGCAGAACAATCATTTCTTTTTAAGTTATTGGGACCGTGCAAGTTCGAAACAGCGACACCTGGTGTCGTAAATCAGCAAAATTTAATGCGCTTTCATGTTAGATCGAGGTTCCCGGATAACTTTCAAGGACGTAGCCCCAGAAAAGAATAAGAAGAAAAAGTAAGATTGAGGTTATGTCGGCATTTTATTAAAAGGTAAACGTTGTATGTAGTGTAAATACAAATAAATATATTATTAAATTACAGCATTACTGTTAATATGGATGCAATAATAAAAACTGGATTTGAGAAAGTAAATCACCAAATAACATTTCAACCAAGCACTGAGTCAAATGGAAAAGCTTAAGTAGTGGCAAATGTCAAAAAAGAATGCAAGAATTATGTGGAAGAATTAAGAAAAATAAATTACCATAAATAATGCTAATGCATAAATGCATAAATTAGGAGGTTAAGCCCATGATATCATCATATTGGTTTGAACAATTAATTCTTTCCCTGTAAACTTTTGAACAGCGAATATATCTTAATGCATCTTCAGAAAAACTTGAACTTGATACATTTTTGTAAACTTCAAAAAAATAAAATTTAAACATTAAACTTGATTTTTGGGTTAAAATAAACTCTAAGTGAGTGTTATAAAACTAAAATGTACACTTAAAACTGAACTTTTATTTATTATTTATTTCAAACTGATTTTAAAATCGGGCGCAAGAATAATGCATAATTTAGGTTATGTTACTTATATGCTTTTTTATGATATAAATCCACTTTTCTCTTTGTAGTAATTTGTGCTTCGAAGTTGGAAACGAATAAAACTTAAATTGACAATTTTTTGTTGTATTTTTACAATTTATAACACAGCATTTCCTAAATCCCATTTTCTTCAGTGACAGAAGGTGTAAGTGTAAATAAACAAACGAATATGAAATATGACAATTGACAATATGAATTTATGAAATCTATGAAATTTGCAGTAAAAAATGCAAGATTTCTCCGCTACTTGCGCACGATCGTTTCTCGTATCACATCCAAGTACTTGCACGTCGCCAATACGTATTTAATTGTCGTTTGTAAAACACGATATTAGTTTGTAAGTAAGATGTAGGAAAAACCTGTTGTAAGTCAAATACAAATATTTTTTTACTTTTGCTGTTTATACATTTTAATTTGTCTAATCTCTTTGACTTGTAAGCAGTTTCATCTTCTGCATGATGATCTGCTAATAAATTCTCATACTTTTTCCTTGCATCAGCTGTCTTACTGATATTAATATGATTGTGAAATATATCACAGTTGTTACAGGTATCATTGCTTGATATTTTCTAATTTAAGCCTAATTTAATGCTTGTTTGAGAGTAAACTTTATAAGAAACCGGTTCAGATGTTATGTCCTGGGTATACAATTGATACATCTCAGCTTTTGTTAATTCTGCCACTAGATACTTTTTTCTAGTATGTTTTCGTGAGTAGTGCGACTCATAGGCAGGAAATTTTAATATGTGGCTATAGACGAGTTCCATTCCAGATATGGAAATTTTGTTTTTTGATTCATGCCTGAATCTGCCATCACCCATAGGAATACCACAATTGGATGACATTTTCTTTTTTTGTAACAGTTTCTATAAATTGACTACTTTCGTCAAAAATAGCACAAAAACATACCTTGCAGCATTGAATTCTTTCTCCTTGGATTTGTATAAAATATGTAAAACTCTTTTCCCTATTTTTTGAAGATTTATCAATATTAATTCTGTTAGTAGTAATCTTCTTGTCAGAAATTTGAATTAATGAGGCAATATAACTTACCCTTCTATCGTAGTTGCCCATTCCCCAGTAACTTTGAAACGGAGATAATCTATGTTCATCAAATATTTTTTCTTTACACTTTCTTCTACAATCTCGCAGTGACCGTTACTGCCTAACTTTTATTGTGTTTTCATTGTTTGTTTCATATCCTTTACCCATATTTCTTAAAACCTGTCTATTTTTTCTTTTTCCTACGTTTCGTTTCAATATTTTGTGCATTGGTTGGCCATGTTCTTCATTGTTTTTAAAGTTTGGTTCATCTGAGCCATTTTTCTCCTGTTTGGTATCAGAATCACTATGGTGGTCTTCTAGAATGTGATCATAGGCCGTTTCTTTCTGCTGTCGTCTGAGTAAAAATCTTGCTGTACATTTTCTTATACTAAAAAAAGTGGAATGTAGTGATCAATAATCAACAATTATACCGCACGTGATGGACATTTTGGTGAGCATAATTGAATTTTTTTTCTCTATATTGTCTTAAGTTCACAAGATCAAATATCTTCGAAAATATCCCAAAAGTAGAGCGATGTTTGGTCAAGTGCTATTTGCAGGACCAAATGGACGGAAAAATAATGTTAACGTAACTTACTAATGCACAATGCACTAGTATTTTCGAGCAAGTTTAAATATGATTGTTGTAGAAGATTTCATGTTAAATTAGAAAAGAAAAAAAATTAATACGTCGAAGTAGAAGAGTAACAAAATTAATAAAAACAAAAGTATTTACCATTGGTTAAAACCGAGTAAGTTTTTTCTTCATCCAAATCAAAGGTTGGGAACGTATGAACATAATTTACTGAAGTTTCAGTCTCGTTCTGAACATTCGGATAAAAATCTGAAAATATGATAAATCACTACTATTATAATGTACTATAAAATAAAACTTATTTTTTCAATTAAACATCGATCATTAGTACGTTAAAGTAGAAAAGTTACAAAATGAGTAGGTACATACAAAACTATTTACCATTGGTTAAAACAGTGTAGGATTTTTCTTTATCCGAATCAAAGGCTGGGTAGGTGTGAACGTAATTTACTGATTGTTTAACTGTTGATCGACCCCTGTATAACAGTTGTCGCACACATCGAGGAACCGGTAACCACTCCGCCCCCGTGATGCCACCGTGTGTCTGACCTTCGACTGACAACTAGTTTCAGCATTCGAGATTCGACATTCAGCTTGAAATAAAGACTTGTATACATTTTTCAGTGCAATTGTAAATTCAGTTTTTATACTTTATAACGTTTTATCTATTCAATTAAAGTTTTGGAATAATAATTATATGTATAATAATTCATACATATTAAATTGGTCCTTCATAGAGCGGATAACTAGTGCAATTACAATAAGTTATCGTGTAAACTGGAAACCGAAAAAGTTCTACCGCATGCAGACAATTCCATGCCGGCATTTTTCGACGATTAGATGCAGATCAACCGAACAAGAGTCAAAGGTCAGTAATTAGCATTTCATTTACCTACTCCTATGTTTTTATCCTTGTTTCGACTTGATTTATTATTTAATTCATTCTTAAAAGACTCGAATCAATTTTATATACTACATACAATAAAATAAACAAATTTTTGCTGAATTTACGTAACATTCATTGCATATTGCATCAATAACACATCGTAACATAATACATATTACATATTGCATCATATCTTACATTTTAACCATTTAGTTATATTTGTTATAATATAACACTAGCATTTGAACTATTTTTAAACCTTATTTCTTTCATTTCCACTTTTTAGCTGTTTTTCTATTGTTCATTTCACTAATATTAAGGTAGATTTACAAGTTAACAAAATAGAACACTATTAATCATTCAAAATGCCAAACGAGGAGCTTGCTTCTGAACTTAAATAGCTTTATATCGCTCGTGGAAATTATAAATCTCAGATAACAAAATTTAAAAATTATTTAGATAAAAAAAAATCAAAAAATAATCCTGACTTTACTCAACTTGCAGTTAGATTATCAAAAATTGAACCTCTATTTCAAGCCTTTGATGATATTCAAACTCAAATAGAATGTTTAGAAGACACCAATGATACAGTAAATCAAAACGAAGGTCTAGAGTTCGAAGACAGTTATTATAGTGTCGTTTCTATAGGTCAAGCAATTTTAAATAGCTCTGGCGATCAAAATGTAGATAAAACATCAATCTCTAGCAATTCTAATATTTCAAATGCAGCAACACAACACGTTAAGTTACCTTCTATATGTTTACCATCTTTCGATGTTTCGATCAGTTTTTATTCTTTAAAGACACTTTTCAATCGTTAATTCATAATAACAAATCTATACCTGATTTAATTTAATTAATAAATTCCATTACTTGCGCTTATCGTTAAAGGCTCAAGCAGCGGATTTATTAAAATCGCTTGAAGTCTCAACAAAAAATTATATTGTAGCATGGAATCTACTTATTCAACGTTATGAAAACAAACCTTTATTGAAGAAAAATCATATAAAGGCTTTATTTGAGACAAAACCTGCTACAAAAGAATGCCATCTAGAAATAAGAAACATTCTAGATGACATGAATCGGCATTTAAGAGCCTTACAAGTTCTAGAAGAACCTGTAGATTCTTGGGATGCATTAATAATTTATTTATTTTCCACAAAACTGGATTTAATAACTCGTCGTGAATGGGAGCGTGAATATGCCAAACATGACACAGTATCGAGAGAAACATTTTGCAATTTTCTGTCAGAAAAATGCAGAATTCTTGAAACTTTAAATATTCAAGGCAATAAGGTAAAACAAAATGTAAGAAGCTTATTTTTAAGTAATTCTCCAACTTGTTATTTTTGCAATAAAGATCATACTATTTATAACTGCAAATCCTTTATCGCGCTAAGTCCAAATTCTAGGCTAGCTGAAGTCAAAAAATTGAAATTTTGTATCAATTGTTTGCGAAATAATCATTCAACTCACCAATTTCGTTTTATGCACTGCAGAAAATGCAACAATAAACTTTGTTACACTTTGGTTTCAATAATCAACATAACCATCATAATTTTAAGTCGAATAATCATAATTCATCTAGTAGAAATGCATCGCAAGACAATCCTAATTTCAATCCTAATGCTAATAATTCTACTGAAACTTCCGATTCTCCTGAAATTAGCGCAAATTGTTTAATTGCAGGTAATGATGCTCCAAGCATTGTCTTATTGTCAACTGCCCTGGTAGACATATTTGATAATCGTGGAAATGTATTGTCTTGTCGTATATTGCTTGATAGCGGTAGTGAGTCAAGTTTTATCTCTGAGGAAATGTGTAAAAAATTAAATATAAGTTCAACTTCAATACAATGTTTTATTACAGGAGTTGGGCAAAAAACCACAAATATTTTAAAACAAACTGTTGTATCTGTTCAACCCCGTCAAGTCCCATTTAAAACAAGTTTTAAATGTTTAGTTATTCCTAAAATTACAAGCAGAATACCGTCAAACTTTATTAACACGTCAAGCTTAAATATCCCTCATAATCTGATACTAGCAGATCCAACATTCAATGAACCTGGTCCAATCGACATTTTGATTGGTGCTGATCACTTCTGGGATCTGCTCATGGTAGGGCAAGTAAAGCTTGGCAAGCATTTGCCTACATTGCAAAAAACTCAATTTGGTTGGATTGTCTCAGGCACTATACATTCACCCCAATTCATACAACCTCCTAACATTTCTATCTCATGCAATCTGAGTACTTCTGATCAGGCTATTCATTCACAAATAGCTAAATTCTGGGAAATTGAAGAAATCAATGTTCCTAAATCCTCATCTTCAGATGACATTCTCTGTGAAGAACTATTCAAAACTACTACTATTAGAAACTCGTTGGGTCAATTTATCGTCCAACTACCGTTTCAGAAACCGGCTTGCTCTCTTGGCGATTCAAAAAAAGTAGTAACCAAATACTTATTCAATTTAGAAAAACGACTACAAAGAAATCCTGAACTAAAGGCAAATTATACAGATTTCTTAAGCGAATACGAAGCTCCTGGTCACATGACCAAAATAAATGACTCTGAATTATCAGACAAACCTTGCTATTATTTGCCCCATCACGGTGTGGTAAAGGAGTCTAGTACTAATACCAAGTTAAGAGTGGTTTTCAATGGATCAGCTATAACAACTAGTGGCTTATCACTTAATGACATTTTAGTAGCTGGTCCAACTATTCAAGATGATCTATTTTCCATAGTTTTGCGAGCAAGAAAACATAATATTATGCTGACTGGAGACATAACTAAAATGTACCGGCAAGTATTGGTAGATTCATCACAACTCTCGCTACAACTTATTCTTTGGAGACCTAATCCTGATTCAGAAATACATACGTATCAATTAAATACGCTTACATACGGTACAGCACCGGCAGCCCTTCTGTCTACAAGATGCTTAAAGGAACTATCAATACAATGTAAAGATACACATCCAGACATTAGCAGAATAATCGCAAGGGATTTTTACGTTGATGATCTTTGCACAGGGTGTTCATCAATTGATGAAGCAATATACCTTAAACAAAACCTGTCTGAGATTCTCATTTCTGGTGGCTTTCCACTCCGTAAATTCATGTGCAATGCACCAGAAGTACTTTGTGAGCAATCTGAAGTGGATAATACCATATTAAATTTCGGTGAGGATTGCAATAACAAAACTTTAGGGCTTCTTTGGAACTCTCAATCCGACACACTACAATTTTCAATAAAGGCTACTTATAATTCCTGCCCAACTAAACGAAAAATCCTATCTTGTGTCTCTCAAATATTCGACCCATTAGGATTAGTTCAACCTGTAATAATCATAGCAAAATGCATTATTCAAAAATTGTGGCAGCACAAACTTGATTGGGATGAATAAATCCCACAAGACCTTTGTACTAGCTGGATTAAATTCCATAATCAACTTCAAGATTTAAATGCATTAAAAATTCCTAGACATGTTCCACCTAACAATCCAGTGCTATTAGAAATCCACGGCTTCTCGGACTCCAGTGAAATGGCATACGGTGCCTTTATATACATTCGATCCTTAGATTCAGAGGGTACTTATCATTGTCACTTACTTTGCTCTAAAACAAGAGTGCCTCCCCTCAAAACAATTACGATTCCTAGGCTCGAATTGTGCGCCGCAGTGTTGCTGGCAGAGTTGGCTCATAAGGTCATAATCTCGTTCGATCTTCCTATTACTCATATCTTCTACTGGTGTGACTTAACTATAGTTTTATCATGGATCAAATCTGTTTGTACCCAGTGGAAAATTTTTGTCGCTAATAGGGTGATACAAACACAATCATTAACAAATTCGGATTCTTGGAGATATGTCAATACTCAAGAAAACCCAGCTGATTTGCTTTA